CTCGTAAGCATCGAGGCTGCCTGCAATTACATGACGACTGCATGTTTAGTCCAAAGGATGGGCAGAAGTCAGTAGCGGGATAGTGTAACTAGTGAGATTGCGCGTCGCAATCCAAGACACACGGCGGGTGCTCCAAAAAACCCCAAAAATCTACTTCTAACCGCTGTGTCAAACACTGCTCGCAGATCTCAATGGCCTAGTGAACATGGCGATAGCCGCCAAGCACTATGCCCCGAGTTCCACTCCTAGCTCAGTTATCTCTATCTGATGAGTCTAAACAAAGACGAAACCGTCGGTCGTGGAGTGCAGGGATAGGAGAGAGTCACACCGAAACCCTCCACAATAGTGTAACTTTCGCACTGTCTGAACTCCAGTTGAAATCAGGCAGCTGTAGGGGTTGACAGGGAATAGAGCCAAGACACTAGTAAGGAAAAGGTCGATCGATCAACAAGTGAGGATAAGTCCGGTTCAACACAGACGCTTTCGGGATGGTGGTTATCCGAAGACATATGGTTGCTGTGGATTACTCCGTGGCTTATACTCAAACATCTGTGAATGCTCGTAGGGAATCACGGAGGATTTTTAACGGGGATGATGGGAAATAGTGGTCCGACCGGGTAGCTGTTTCCATCTACCGGGGGACGCTAAAAAGTGTTAAAATTGTACAGCGCATTTTATTAATTTGGTTCGGAGCTAGGAGCAGATGCACTCAGGTGCTTACGCACACCGATACGCTGCATCGCTAACTGTCCAATGGCGCGAAGTGCTTTGCCGGCAGGGGTGAGATGGGACACAGAGACGCGACATGTGTGCCTACGATAGAAGGGCACACCGATCCGTTCGGCTGTGAGAAGTGAACTTTAGCAAACACCACAGCCGAAATCGATTTGTCATGCGTGGATTGCAGGGCAAGACCAAGGAAACATACACCGTTCCACCGTAAGAACTGGACGTTAGGCAGACACCACAGTCGCACTGAACGTGTCATGCTTCGATCGATCGGTAGTCGGCTTTCACGCAGGTGAGAAAGCCAGCAAAAGGGTTCCCTGCAAAGTGGTTGGTGGGTCGCTGTGCTAGCCATTGCGTAAAACAGCCTGGCCCTACGTGATGTCCGGTCGATGGGCGCCGTATTACCATCGCCACAAAAGCTGTCATCGCCTCATGACTGGCTTCCAACAAACCCGTAAGCTTTTATTAGGCTGCTTTCCCTGCTATAGGGAATCACACTGCCCAGAGGAAAACATTGTAAGGTTAGTGTTGTTCGTTTTACCATTTCGATCGTGTGTGTTAGCTGAAAATTCACCCTTCATGGGTGCATAGAAACGAATTCTTGACTTGACGTGACAATGCTCTAAGATTTCATTCTGCCCCGACGCACTGGTGGCACCAATTTAGTCAAGAATACAACTATTGTCCTCACGGTCAGACAATTGCTAGTCGTACAAATTGATTGGGCCTTCGATGGTGTTTCTTGTGTAAAATGGAGAATATTCATTTCTTTACTTATATTTACGTGAAATGTTTGTACATGGCAACGAATTATACGTCTGCAACACCAAACAAACGGACGGCCTCGCACCGCCACGGATGAAGTATCAGCTTGTGCAAGTGGCATTCAGTAAGTCATCTCAGCATTCGGCAACTCGCACAAGATTGTAAAACCGAACCGTGTGATGTGCATCAGATATTGAAGGAAGAAAATTTTCGGCGGTACAGTGCGCTGCAGGTGCAAGTGTTGAACGCATGCGATTCACAGAAACGACTGGAATGCGCCCGTTTGTTTTTAAACAGTCTGGTCGTGCATTCCAGTTTGTTCACCGATGAGGCGTGTTCCCTATGCATGGCGAAGATACGCAACATGTTTAGGAAACAACCAACACGCGGCAATGTAGCGCTTCACGTGTGTAACATAGCGCGAAGATCATGGCCTGGGCTGGGTTGACGGGTCGAACGGTTATTGGACCATCTTTCTTTTCCAGGAGTGTGTCCGGAAGGCTGTTGCTTAGAAGTATCAATGTCTGACATTTCTTAGCAACCTCGTAGGTGGAAATGTTGCAGAGCAGCGTCATTCCGCAGCTACAGTCGGAAGGATTAATGAATAACATTTGATGGCAGTAGGATGGCGCACCAGCACATTCGGCGCAATCGGTTAGTGTTCACCTGAACGAGACATTCGATGGACGTTGGATCTGTCGCGCAGGACCGATGAAATGGTCAGCGCGATTACCGGATCTGCATCCCATGGACTTTTTCCGATAGGGGTATTAGAAGCGCACAGTTTACAGTACGAAATCCAAAACTTGAATGAACTGAAAGAGAACATTGTGAACTAAGGTAGGCAGACTTCGTTCGAGACGTTGCAGAAAGTGCTCACCAACACCATCCGGCGAATGCTAATATGTAGCCAAAACTACGAAGGGCACTTCGAACATCTAATTCGTTGCTATGTACAAACATTTCACGTAAATATAAGTAAAGAAATGAATATTCTCCATTTTACACAAGAAACACCATCGAAGGCCCAATCAATTTGTACGACTAGCAATTGTCTGACCGTGAGGACAATAGTTGTATTCTTGACTAAATTGGTGCCACCAGTGCGTCGGGGCAGAATGAAATCTTAGAGCATTGTCACGTCAAGTCAAGAATTCGTTTCTATGCACCCATGAAGGGTGAATTTTCAGCTAACACACACGATCGAAATGGTAAAACGAACAACACTAACCTTACAATGTTTTCCTCTGGGCAGTGTGATTCCCTATAGCAGGGAAAGCAGCCTAATAAAAGCTTACGGGTTTGTTGGAAGCCAGTCATGAGGCGATGACAGCTTTTGTGGCGATGGTAATACGGCGCCCATCGACCGGACATCACGTAGGGCCAGACTGTTTTACGCAATGGCTAGCACAGCGACCCACCAACCACTTTGCAGGGAACACTTTTGCTGGCTTTCTCACCTGCGTGAAAGCCGACTACCGATCGATCGAAGCATGACACGTTCAATGCGACTATGGTGTCTGCCTAACGTCCAGTTCTTACAGCCGAACGGTGCATGTTTCCTTGGTCTTGCCCTGCAATCCACGCATGACAAATCAATTTCGGCTGTGGTGTTTGCTAACGTTCACTTCTCACAGCCGAACGGATCGGTGTGCCCTTCTATCGTAGGCACACATGTCGCGTCTCTGTGTCCCATCTCACCCCTGCCGGCAAAGCACTTCGCGCCATTGGACAGTTAGCGATGCAGCGTACCGGTGTACTTCAGCTCCTAGCTCCGGATCAGATTAATAAAACACCCTGTAAAATCTTGAAACGACAATCGGATAAATCAGGTATAACATTATGAAGCACTGGGAACACTAAAGAGGACGTTTCCAGCATCGGTTATATAGGCATGCGCTACTGACGAGTCCCACTAGGTGACAGCGAGCTAGCGCTTTTCTTGATACTTGGCGATTGCCTTGCTGAGTGAAATATGAAATGTGTGAGCTTATACGCCGTAACGACGCTTCGCTGCCGCGCGACCACCACTAGTCGCGCGCGGGCTGAGTATACCGCGAGGACGCCCACCCCTACGCGGATTCGAACCGGTGACCTTATGGTTGGAAAGCAAACGTGCCGACCACTCGGCCACCGGCCTTGCTGAGTAGTTGCGACAAATGTTCTTAAAACAAAATAACCCCAACTAGTCTCCAATGGGCTAGAATCATTCTTAATCTGACCGAGAGTGAGTATCTCCCGCTGTTTTTGGTGCTCATTCCTTCGTAGAGATCGAGTAGAAGTTCCAGGCAGATGAAGAACGAAAATGAATTAGTTGGGACATCAATTGAATTCGGGGAGCCAAATGCCGGGCATGTTAGAGAAAGTTACCGACAGGATGCTGATGGACTGAAGCTACCCAGAACAGTGCCTAGTTGTAAAAGGAAACCCACATTCGGAGTGAAGCAACCAAAAAGGCTGTATCGCCGATGGGATTCACTCTCTAGAGAATCACAAAAGTGAGGTAGTACCGAACATATTTTCGTTTTGGTTCAACTGTGTACCAAAATAGCCATAGGGATGGATGTTCCGTCAGAGGAAAAATGAGATGCGCTAGTACCATGAAAGTCGTAATTAATTTTATCCGAACCGACAATGTGAGAAAAGCTGGTGCTATCGCTTTTCTTTTCAGATGATTATAGGCTATAAAATGGGTTTGAGAAACTCCAAAAGAAAACGTGTGATTGAGCGTCGGTGACAGACTCTAGAGGACTGCTAGAGGTTGGATACCAACGCGTATGCCGAAGTGCTGAGAAAAACACCGTGAAAGGCGTTACAGTGTCTTCAGCTAGATGAACCAAAAGTGAACAGACAATCGGGCGCTGAGATGAAGGAATCAATTTAGCCGTATTAAGAAGTACATGATAAAGTAAGAATCGGATTCGACATTGGAAGCGACGTTTCATCAACGGATAGCCGTATTAATTCCACTGTGCTTTTTTCAATAACTACTTTCAACTTGCTTTTAAACTGTCCTTCTTTTTACCATTTCTACCAATTGAACTCCCATAAAACTGGCTTTGAACTGCTCCGGAAAATCTGAAATAACATCTGCACTTCGAGATCATATTGTGCCATACGATGAGTCCAAGTAGTTGGACTGTAACTCACACAGTCGAGAAATATACACTCACAAATTAAAGAATCCATATCTTCGCGACACAGAAAGCCAAATGCGTTGGGAGAGAGTTGCCATGACGAGTGAGTGGAACCTTGATCTGAGAGAAGACAACAGAGAACACCTTCTAGACAAGGCACAGTTTTCGACCTGAACTTAGAAAGGTACTGGGAGTTGTGCTTAGATTGACTTGGATATGACGATTCTTAGGGATTGTTTCCACAGAACGCATCACATCAGGGGGGGGGGCGTGACAGGACAATGAGAAATCTTGTGGAAACTCCACGTAGAACTATGAGAAAACAGAACCATGTCAAATAGATAAATCGATTGTTTCGCTTTATAAAAACAACCGAAAAGGACTGAAGAAGGGGCGCGCAGTTTCAGTTTATTTTTGTAATCCAAAGGTGGAATTCCGTCCATGAGTGGAATCCGATGATGTTGGCCGCACCCCACTGCTGAATTTAGAGGGGTGATCCCACCGAGTACTTGAGAACGTAAATAGTGTAGGAAGAAGACAGCGATCGGAATCACAGAGGATGTATACACGCACGTGAAGACATAGGTCAATAATAAAATGAAGAAAGGAACAAACAGTGAAGAAATGCAGACAGTGGGAAGGGACGGGTTCAGGGGGCGCATACACTATTTGCGAAAAATGTCAAATAAAAAAATGATGATCATCGGGCTGTTCGAAATAAAAATATGGATAGGCAAATTATACCATGCGAGGACTGAGAAGACAGTGTGGGCTAAAACCTTAGGAGGGGAATCCAAATGGGGCGCACACGTTGGTGGCTTAAGCGTCAACCGGGACAAGCTGGACTACAGCATCAGGTGGACAGTTCACTACCAGAGAGGAGGTGGATGAGCGGAAAAATCTTAAAACAAGAGGGCATAAATGTGGGAACTAAAAGAATTAAAACATCTCACAGATATCGCATGCAGGGGAAATTGATTTGCGATGGATGGAATAAGTTTGGTACATTGTCACTGACTAAATGAGCCAAAATGAGGAGAAAATGGGGGGCGCTGAGATGGAAACACTTTAGAAGTACGATGGAGTGCACCATCAAGAAAGAATTGGCTTCGACATTGGAGGCGACGTCTCCTCAACATCACCTGTGGCACCGTTGACATCAGAAAACCCTGAGTGATTCTGCACAAATGGATTGCCTGGCTTGCGAACGGTTGGTACGCCGACTCCACAGGTGGCTCGATCAGCCCATCCAATATCGAACGGGTCGGACAACCGATCAGGCTCCGGAGGCAACAGTGAAGGAAACGGTGTCTGCCAATTTGACGTGGAGTCAGCGCTTGGGAGCCACGACGGATTCGGTAATGTGTTTGAATTGCCTACAGCGACAATAAGTATGAGATCCAGAGGAACGAAACAACGCAATTACACATGAGTAACGATGAGAAACGTACAAAAAATCACAGAGAAAACTGGCTTTTATAAGGTGAAACCAACATGAATGACGCCATCACCACCATAGTGAGTGGACGCTGGTGATAGCAGAATCACCATACGATCGAATGTGACTGCTCTGCGCTAGACTGAAAACACCTGCTGGAATAAGTAGTCACCATCACAGTGAGGACAGCCGACCCGATTAGAGGCCGTCATGGGAATGCAACGGGGAGCCGTTGCCAAGTCATGACGATCGTGATCACTCTGAACAGAGTGGCAGGAGAGACAAGCTCGCAGTTCGCGTGCGAACGGTAGAAAATTCGCAAAAAACGTTTCCGGAGTTACGATATTATGTATACTGGAGTTTACGTCGGAATGCAAACCACTCATAAAGGAAGAAGGTCACCGATGTGTTCTAACTGCAACGCCACCTGACTAAAGGCAGAGAATGTGAACTACTAATGCGTATCCGAGTTGCTCTGGTAGCAAAGGCACACAAACGAATGCTGCGGCGGCAGTAACAATAATCAACTTGTTCTAATGCAAGAATAATTGCATCTCGTCAATCAGTTGAGAACACTACGACCCCATTTGACTGACCATGGGACACAGAAAGAATTGGCATAACATTGAAAGAAGCTGACGGTCTTAGCAACAAAAAACCGATCGTAATGGAGACAGGCGCCTGATAATAGGAAAACAAATTTCCATCAAAGTGGTCGAAACGCAAGCAATAAGGCAATTGCTCCTGGAATTCAGACTCAACTGTGGAGACAAAGGAGTGTACTTATTGTAGTAAGTGATGGCCTCATAGAGCAAGAAATCTAGTTCGAAGTCAATCAATCAATCATCGTACCCGGTAAGCCTGTGTGTGGGAATGCGGCGAGCGGGGAGAATTGCGGAGAGGAGAAAGCTGCGTTCAGAGGCAAGTGGACAGATCCCGAAGGAAATGAAGCATAAGGCGACATAGGACTGGAATAAGGCCATCCAGGATGTGCCGTGCTGGGCCAAGCAGCAATGTGTGACGTGGACGTCGGGGCGACTATCGGTGGTCCACCCAAAAATGGAGAAGTGGGTGCAGTGAAAACACTTGTGTCTCCAGTGGGCTGTGGAGAGAAGAAACAATATAAGTGAATATTTGTAGGGGATAAATTCCAATTTTGACTAGTGGGTTGCATGTAAAAGTGCAATTCGATAAATATATGAGATCGGTTAGTGCATTCAGTGGAGAAAATTTTGTTTTAGAGTCTAGCGAGAACTATTTAACTTGACTATAGGAAGCTCAGTGGGGCGATCAACTATAAAGTAGTGAGGATGAAGGAGAAATTTCGGACTGTAATCAGTTCGATCATATATGTAAGTCTTAACACAATGAGCCGCTCATTGCTATATGGCAGAAGGAACACTAACAGGAATGACAGTAAAGATTTAAAAATTGACATCGGCAGTACACCGATACGCAGTAACGGCGTTTCGCTGCCGCACAACCATTACCAGTCAGACGTGGGCTAAGGATACCACGAGGGTCGCCCGGTCCCTACGCATGCTCGAAGCCGTAAAGCAAGATCAAAAGACAAGCTCGTTACCTTTAGGCTTAGGGGCCGACAAGGTTCAACAGCAATAGCAATATATAAGTGATGATGATAATAATAATAAGTATAGAAACCAACGTGTGAGAAGTTATGCCCATACCCACCACACATCATTTCTATAGGTGTGACCGTGCCCCTAATGCATAGGAGGTGGAGTATCTTTGTCTACGAATGTATTAGTTAAACTAGGTGACTCACTGGACAACGAGTTAGTGAATCGCTGCAAGGTGGAAACTGAAACTGACAAGGTGGGTGTCTTGTGCATGCTCCGAATGTTCAATATGCCCACGTGATGAGGACCCATGATGGGTTACTACTAGGTAACGGCAATTCTCGGGTTCGTGAGGATTGAAGAATAGATGTGGAAGGCATCAGCAGTACGCCGGCACGCAATACCGACGCTTCGCTGCCGTACAACCACCACCGGTCACATGTGGGCTGAGGATACGGCGGGGGTCGCCCTGTCCCTACGCAGGCTCGAACCCGTGGACACAGGAACGCTTGTGTCTCATCAGCCGGTGTCTTGCTGATGGGAGACATCAGTACCAACACCTCACGTATAGGCAGTGCCGTAAGTTGACTCCACCAATATATTCAAAGACGACTTTCAGGACAAGGAAAGTCACCATAATTGGTCGGCTGCAATTGTGTCTATGCTTTAACAATTGACGAAGAGTAAACATGTGATCGACGTAACCACGATCAGGACGGAAACCAGCCTGGCTTTCAGTCATTTGGCTCTCAGGAGGACCAGCAAATCAGCGAAGTTTGGAGACAATGAAAATAAGGTCGATACCTCGAGGATTTTCGCACAAAGTCCACCGAACAATTTTGAAGATGGGCACGACATCTGATAATCGCCAGCCTAGAGGCACTTCGTCAGTGTCGGCGTGTTGAATAAGGTAACAAGTCCAGGCAATAAAGAGTCACCTCCATTTTTCTGCAAAGATAGTGGAGAATCGCCTGATCCAAAAGTCATCGTGTGCTTCAACGTGGCAATCTCGTCAAATGGGAGGTGCGATATCAACTTCTACGTCAGCTCAGGTGATTTAGTAAATAACTGCGTCACATCAGGCCCGCTGAAGTGCTATGCAAAATGTTCCGGCCAACAAGCTAGTCGAGGCGGATAAGAATGGATCAATTGTCCATCTTTTTCAGCTATTGTCTCATTGAGGATTTTCTTGGACCTGTGTTCCAGATGAGCTGGAACAGTACACGGTTGTACCCAATAGATTTTCCATCTCAGGGGACCGTGCAACCTACCAAGGTTCCCGGTCAATTCGGCGACTCATTATCAGCAGTAGTTTCAAGATGTTACGGGCCCGATGGACTGATCGATGCCTTAGATATCCATCTGTAGTTCCAACATCTCAATTTAGGCGTACAGCAGAAATCAAAGGCGTTCTTCATCGCACACTTGAGACGATTGCAAGTCAGCGTTCGGCTCATCAACCTAATCACCCACAATTGGTGGGCGAGTCCGCCATGATATTATTGAACGGCAGACTGCGAGTTCGTAACAAGTGAGAAACTTATAAACTAGGCGTTTCTTTGAAGCGGGGAGAGTGAGCGTCAGGCGTGCACGGAACATGATCGGAAACCAGGCACGTGCTGCAAATTGACATACAGTCTTGAACTAATGTGTGCCATCTGTAATTGACAGCAATATAGTCAATTTGGGTTCAGATCACTGAGGAATTCAGCGAGCACCAGGTGATACGATGGGAACGTATTGCTAGAAATAGGCCCTGCTAATATACAGATTGTGGTTGAAAAATAGTTGCAGGGGTAAATCACCAGTCTATTCGGCGTGGATTGACTCCAAAAGAGGTCTCACAATTGTTGCTCAGAGTCCGAAAAGTGACATATTTGGTCATTCATGTAACCAGGCGGCCGGCGGCCGAGTTGTCTGCGCGCCTGGTTTACAACCATGTATGTATGTATTGTTACAATCTGTGTACAGATATTGTGCCATCGGAACCATGGCAGGATAGGAAAACCGGGTTAGATTAAATGAAGAAGACAAACAATTGTTTCTCCATTTTTTCACTCACAGTTTTTGAGTTTTCTTGATGCTTTTTATTGGGGGAGAGAAGGGGATGATCCATCCATGGTTCGTCAGTGGACGAGATACTACCCGGTTGCCCAGGCCGAAGTAGAGGGTTGTCTTAGGGGACCCCACCCCGAGCCTTTGATCCAGGATCTAACCTACAAGGCAGCAGGGCGATATGGGGGTATCGCGACCCGTTGGGAGCCGGTGATCAAACAAATGGTTCATACGCCTTTAGGAACGCACAGGACCAGGGGCCCAACACACCCTTAACTTACAATGCCACTCAGAAAGAAGCAAGGGGCAGTGACTTTATTTAATGGCGAGTCACATCCACCACGTCACAGTGTTGTTAAACGGACATATATGGCTTTTTATAAGGAGAACGCTTGCCAGGCGAAAACGCACCACGTGTTGGAACACTGCCGTCGAACCATTCGCTGGAACGGGAAAAACCCAAACCACCCAGCTGGTACCACGAGGAGCTTGTTCGGCAAGCCGATTAGGGGTGGGCATCCTCGCGGTATACTCAGCCCGCGCGCGACTGGCGGTGGTCGCGCGGCAGTGAAGCGCCGTTACGGTGTAAAGGTGGCACATTATTTATTCATGTCATCAGCAACAATCGCGATATTAGTATTTTTCACAATGAGAAGAGACGACAGTACATGACAGAAACCTCCAAACTACAGTCACTAGGTACATAAACGAAAGCGATGAAAAGGCACATTTGTTCCGGACAGTGCTTATTAACGCTACCAGAGGCTCGAAGTCGAATCGCACACATGCGGCCGTTCGCCGGTATCCAGTCGAACAGATTGTCCTCAGCAGGTTTGTTGAGGACAATACCAACACCGTAAATGCCTTGAGTCATTGACTTAGTATCGTCAGACGAGAAGTGTAGCCATCGTCGTCAGACTCAGAACCAGGGAGTCAAACATTTGTCATGATGTTGTTATATTGTATGTGTGTTTCGGAGACACAGTATACATAGATACCAAGACGGTGAAGAGTGAGAGTTAGCGCTGCCTGTTGGCCCATTTGACCCAGAGTGCTGGTGGTAAACGAACCAATATGAAGGAATGAGACCCTTGGTTTGAATGACAAGAAAGGGTTGGTCTAAGCAAATCTCGAAAGTGATTCTCCGGTTTTCCCGTTGATTAGACACAAGATTGTATCCTTCGGGATTACGAGTGAGCAAGGAGGACTGTGGTACGATAGATCTGGTGATAAGACTCACAAAGCATGATTTCTTTTAGAGCTGAATCGAATGTTAAAATCCTCTATGGTGACCCAACTGTCGTGAGACAAGATGGGGATTACACGAGCTGTCTCGAACTCTCTCTTCCGGTTTTGGCAGCAGTAAAGAAGCCAGCCACGGCCCACGGGTGAAACAGGTCCACAAGTTTTCCACATACGGTAACTGTAGGATAATGATAAGCACATAACTTTTAAATAAAATTGGATATATTCAAGGACAGTTCAACCTCAGAGCTTTCAGTTCAACTGAATGTTGGACAGTGGCCCGTGCGTCAAATGGGTTTCACGCGCAACTTGAATATGCTACGCATCTCTTTGAGCGATCTACCCTACTAAATATTCGACCTGATATCCAAAAAGCGAAACATCTTGAAGCTAAGTGGAATTCTTAACAAGTTTTTCAAAGAATGCGTGCACCGCGGTGTCGTTGATGAGGTGTCTTGGTGGCAAACACGAAAAGATGGCTAGTGAAAACGGAAAGAAACGGAAGTGAGGAAAAGATTGCAAGTAATAGTGCTTAATGGGCCAATAGTATTTCCCGGTTACTTACTCCGAAACAGGGAGTTTGTTCGAGGGGATAGGCTCTGATCTATGATCAGACATCCTGACCTACATGGTACCAGTAATTAAGTCTAACTCTGGAGGGTATCTATAGAGCCTCATTGGGAGCTAGCTGATGACGAACACACGCAGTGTTTGAAGATTCAGAACAAATCACATGTTTATCACTGTGATAGGTTACGTACGTGCGACCAAGAGTGACAGTGGATGAGAGGTGGCGGGTTCGCATCATTTCGATCAAGGGTTACCTGGCTTGAAGGGGGTGGTAGCAAACCAGTGAACGCGGGTGGTGCTCTCACTGTCGAAAACAACATGTGCTCGTGCCCCATGCCAATCGAGCTGCCAGCCTCGAATCTGCAGACTGTTGCCATCTATAGATAAGTTTCGGAGGAAGGCGGACAGAGACCTTTCACCAACTAACATAACTTGGACTTAAAGAACGACTACTGTCGGTTTGTGAGGCGGCAAAACTGTATGCCACTGAGCGCTTCTCCAGATTGCGGATGTGAATGAACCGCCTATGAAGGTTAACTGCAAGATAAGTGGGTCTCGGCCTGTCGAAAAAGTAGCCGCGGACAGACATCGGCAGTATCCGGTGATGTGGTGAATTTTCGCCTGACAAGCGGTATTCCCGTAAAATGCCACG